ATTTAGTGTGTCAACTCATTTGACTCATAAGTACAGCAATAGAAACCCCTGTATAAGGACATGTCCTGTGACTGATAGAGTAATTAGAACAATTTAAAATTTTTATTGTTATACTATATAACGCTATAGCGGGTATTTATTAGAATTTTTCAGTCCGATCACTACATTATAACGAGGGTAGACTGTGAATTTATTATTAAAGATCTGTTGAGATGGAAAGCACTAGTGGGAGATATAAGTCATGTTATCAAATGAGTGCTGCCAATGGAAAAGGGCACCTCCGTTTTTTAATCCATTATTAAATCAATAATTGATTAAAAAACGGAGATGTCCTTTTCCCTTGGCAGCACTCAAATAGAATCAAAGTAGAAAATGATGAATTATATATATTATCAGAAATGATAAGATTAGATACTCTTGGTTATTGGAATTGAAGTTGAAAAAATAAACATAATGTTTTTTTTTGTTATCATAAATCTACTACAGGTACTATGAAAATTACATTTTAAGTGAAGTGTCATTTATCACCTGATTTCTTATAATTAATAGAGTTAACCCCCTCTCTTACATGATAAATAACAATTATTTAGTACGGCAGTCAGTCAAATCAGAACAAACTTCTGATAAGTCGGCCTATATTAGATAACTTTTATAAAGATTTCATTTGTCCGACTTCTGTTTTGGCCCAAAATTTGCCTTCAAACTAATAAATATCAATATTTTTTAGTTGATGTTTTTGATATAATAACTTTATATTTTATTAACCAATATCTAAGTTCTTGATATAATAAATATAGCTTGAATTATTTTCGTTATATATTTTAGATAACCCGGCTCTAAGAATTATAATATAAAGTGCTATAATAAAAAAAATGTTTTTGATTATAATTTTTTTTAATGACTGTAAATTTATACCGATTGAAAAACAAAAAATGATATGCGTATGACACATAAAATAAACAAGCTTTCAAAAAAAGTATGGTTATCAATATTTCCGGTGAGCGTTAAAATCTTTCTATAAAAATATATATTTTAATAAAATTTGTTAATTATGTACTGTATATATTTATTCTTTAAAAAATTTTTTTTAAAAAAGAATTTATTTAGTATTCACCGAGGATGAAATTTACCACGATATGTTTTTTAATTATTATTATATAGAACTGGGTGAAACCTGAGTTGCGAAATAATGAAAACCATTTTGTAGAGTGGTTTAGGGTGAAATCCGCGTTTTATTATGTTTTTTAATATAAAAGCGAATTTCACCCTCGTGTGATGATTTACTCTGTCGTGTTGTTATGATTTATAGAAAATTTTATTACAAATTTAAAGCTAAAATTAGACTTTAGGGTTAAGTCTTAAATTTAAAGCAAAGGTTAGGGGTTTTTTAAAGTGCTGAACATTTTTATTTAGTATACCAAATACCGATTTTTGTGAGAAACAACATACCCAGTAAATTTCACCTCCGGTGATTGCCCTAAGTATAATAATTATATATAATCCATTTTCGAGCCAATAAAAGCACATCAAGAACTTTGAAGTTTCTTATACAATCCAGCAATTGATATTTGTTTTCTAAAAGAAGTAGATATGATCGATCACGCATGATGATCATATGGTCAAACGAAAAACCATTTCTAAAGTTGGGTTTACTGCAAATAGAGCTGCAAACTTAAATTATAGATTATGTAATAACATAATTTTTTGACTAAGCGAACATATGAAAAATAGATCAAATTTAAATCAAATTTAAAATTTAAGTTTAAAACTCGTAACTGTAAACGTCATATTCATGTCTATCATTATTCATTATCAATTTGAGTTAGTTCCGTGCATTTCATAAATATTAACGTAAGACGTAAGATAACACGTTAAGAATTCCCTGCAAGCAAAATTATATCAAAAATAAATATAGGAAAAATACTTATACAATTAATCTTTCATAAATGCACTCTCTATAGGTTCACTTTCCCTTTATAAGTGCACTCCTAACGTAATTCATGTGACATTATATGTAAATTAGCTTTTCATAAATGCATACTTTATGGGTGCATCTTTTCGCTTATGGATTCGCTTATGGATGGTCGAATGTATGAAATACTTGCTTTAGATGGGTTTTTTTTATATGATTTACAGATTCTAATAGCATATGGCTTCATAATATTATCTGATTTGCATGGATCCAGTCGCGAGTGACATACTATATATAAACAGATGATCATATTTTAAAACAATCCCAAATTCGGCAAACAGTAAATTACGTTAATGGTAAGACTTTTTTTTGTAACTACTGCGTTAAAATGTATTAAATGTATCAAATTTTTTTACAATCGGAGTTTAACGAATGTTTGAGGCCAGAATACATCATAAGACTTTATTTCCAAATATAGGGTTGGCTAAAGCTAAGGTACATCACGAGATTACCCGATATATAAACCGGATCTGCCCGAAAGACAAAAACACGAAAAATATAAAAAATGGCTATCTAAACCAGTCTTGGTTCACTAAGTAAAAGTGTCGGAAATGCGATTTTACCATAGAAACTAACTACTTAATCTAACCCCAACCCTAATATCAATCGATTTTAATTAAAAAATCGGAAAATCGGGAAATCTCGTGATGTACGTACTTGGCTTTAGCCATCCCCCAAATATAGGAAAAAAAGACTAGTAATCGCATTTTAAAAAAGTACAAAGGAAATAAACAATCATGATTTACGTATTAACTTTACAAATTTAGATAACAAAATTGGTAACTTTATTTACCATTACATGCTTGTTTTCCGTTTAAGATCATTCTAATTACCATATCAAGGTAAACTAATAAACACTCATATAAGATCTTTTTCACGTGTCCACTTCAACCATAACAATTTCGGACGAATAAAGCTCGGGTGAATTATTATAGAAGAAAGAAAATATTATCCTACTGTAACTACAGATCGTATGCATAATAGCCAAGTCGTTGGCCAAATTTATTTAAAATGAAAATTTTATAGAAATGATTAACTTACAAAAATAAACCATAAAAAAACTTTATAAGAATATTAACTTACACTAATTGAACGCCAACTTGTCACATAGCGAACAATAAACATAACGGCATTTATGTATGGCAAGCTTTCAATAAACAATTCAATAAACCCTAAGATGGTCTTATGGGTTAGTTAATTGTTTGATTACTTCGTGCATTGTTCTTTACATTAAAAAAAGATTTTGTTACACACACGTTTTCACATACGTTTTGGAGAAAAATTACGTAATAAACGCCATATTAAAATATTATTTTAAACGTTAGTAAATCCTCTTTTTACTAATTTTCATTACTCTCTATCCAGTCTATTACTCTATTCAATTCTTTTTCATTTCAATTTCCTTGTTTAAAATCTCTATTCAATTCTTTTTCATTTCAATTTCCTTGTTTTAAAATCTCTAAACATCTCATTCATTCAATTCATCAATTTTTTATAGATAAACAAAAGCGTTCATGGGTAACTTACAAAGCGTTAAGAAATCATTAATTAGATTTAAAAGAAGATCCCCTAAACATTCTACCGAAAAAACTAAATATAACGCTCCAGAAACGATGACAGCAGAAATAGAACATTCGTATCCTCAATCTGCTTCAACATTTTATTATATAGATGGAAGAAGATATTTAGATAATTCATCTTATTCATTACCTAACGATGATGAAGAAATCGATAGATTACAGATGCAACATTATTTAGCAAGATATATTTTACAATCTAATTTTTGTGCACCTGTTAATAATAGGTTAAAGAGTGGTGCCAAAGTTTTAGATGTTGGGTAATTAAAGATTTAATAACGCTTTACAGTGTTTTTTTTATATAAATAAATAATATAGTAAATTGGATTTTTAAAGAAAATTATTTTTTTTTTAATAATCAAATTTTAATTCTAATAGATGTGGACCAGGAACATTTACCTTGGAAATGGCATATGATTATCCCAATTCACATTTCATAGGAATTGATATAAATCCAATGTTTCCAAAAGAGATTAAACCAAGAAATGTTGAATTTGAAGAAGCAGATGTTCTAGAGGATTTACCCTATGCTGATGAATCTTTTGATTTTATAGTAATAAGGAATATGATAACTTCGTTTACTGTACATGACTGGGAAAGTAAAATATGGAAAGAATTGATTAGAGTACTTAAACCTGGAGGTTATATTGAGGTTTGTTTAATGCATACATTAACTCTGATACTTTCTTTAATACATTAATGTTAACGTTAATAACCGTTATTTATTCATTCATTCATTCATTCATTCATTCATTTATTTATTTATTCATGTTATTCATGCATGGATATAGAGTACAGAGTTCGAGATTCCAGCAATAAACAAGGGCCCAGTAACTTTTAGAAAGAGCGAAGCATGTAAGTTATTTTTTTTTAAAAAAAAAAAAAAAAAAAAAATTGATTTTTTTTAATTAACTGTCAAGATATATATTTTTTTTTAACAATCAGGGATCGCATTAATGAAGACGAAAAATATTGATTTAACAATGACAACACGTTTAGAGGACATATATAAATCCACAATATTGAAAAATATTGAACATAAATCAAAAATGATTCCAGTTGGTACTTGGGGTGATCGTATTGGTAAAATTATGACTGATGATTTTGCAATGTTAGCAAAAGCGATGTGCCCTGTTTTAAGGCCACTTTGGGGTATAACTCAAGAACAATATAATGAATTTAGTGAAGCTTTTGTAAAAGAATTTAATGTGTATAAAACTTATTGTAATATTCATGTAGTGTTTGGTCAAAAACCTGATACGTAACATTTGATATTATAACAATAATACTTATGTGGGATTTTAAACATTCCTAATATATATGTATTAATATCAGAAATACAACTCAGTACATATGTTTATTATAAATAAAAGCACCAATTTTACATCGAGTTTTATTCTTTAAAAATTAACTAAGAATAAACATATCTGATCTAAATAATAAAAATAATGTCATATCGTAATTGTTAAAATCTATCGTTCAAACTCATTCAAACTCGTTCAAATTCTTAAAGCTACTATAAATAAAGCTACTATCAACATTCAAATAATTCGAGTAAAAGAAAGAACCTGGCTTCCATTTTACAAATCTTTCTTGAACAACCATTTATTAAAGAAATCTAAACTTGGACGTGGTTGATCATAAGGTACCATATGCCCAGCTTCAAAAACTCTCAAGAACGTAAATCCTTGATAGGTTCTAACATCTCCAGCATGTTCTCCATTGTCTGTTTTCCAAGGAGTAACCTTGACATCGTTAAAACCTTTTTCACCACTCCATTTAAGTTCTTTTACCCATGCTTCGTTACCTGTAATAATTGTTTAATATATTTAGAATAATTACGTAATATAAATTTGACAAGAAGTTATTGTAATATAAATTTAGTAATAATGACTTACCAATCCAATTACAAATAAAATCAGCATCACCTATAAAAAATATTTTTCAATTAAATTGTCAATAAATTGAATGAAAAAAATATATATATTTTCATTTAAATTGAATGAAAAAAATTTTTTTAAATCGGTAATAAAATTACCTGCATATACCAATACTCGAATATTGTTTTCCAAAAGCGGTGGGATCAATAAGTGATAAGGACGCATCCTATATTAAAAAATTAAACGTAGTTTTTTTTTAGAAAAACGTATTTTTAAATTTTTTTTTGTTAAAATTTCGTTAAACTATTTTTTTTGTTAAAGAAAAATAATTTTAAAGATTGTATAACATACCAATCACCGGCAAGTTGGAATCTGAAATTAATTTCCATGTTACAACTTTTATATTCCACCGAAGAATCAACACCCAATTCAGCTTTAACAACTCCAAGGTTAGAAAATCTCTCAATGGCTTTTAAAATTGGATAACATAAACCACCACCCTCACAGTCTTTTCTAACATCATAAACATTTTTACCAGTTTGTTGATAAGGTTGAATCATTTCTCTATTACAATACATTGAAGCAGGTAAACAAGAGAATGAATTTGAAGAATCATAACATCGTTGAATCATAGATGCACATTGAGGATAAGCATTTCTCATTTGATCACATGTGGATTCTTCTAATACGGGTTCATAAGAAGAGTTACAGGCCATATCTGCGTAATATTTGTATTGTACTAGAGGGTCTACTAATCCATTTCCAATCAAGATGGATTCAAGATTGACATGTTTAAGTGCTTTGGGTTGATTTGCAAGAATCCATGAAGAAGTTCCTTTATTATTATTGTTAATTTCTGCTGCTATGGCAGGTATGTAATGTCCAGCATACCTATTAACAACAAAGTTAACAAATTAAAAAAAAGTTGATTCGAGTTATTTATATAAATTATATTACAGTATATAAAAAGATTAACAAAAATTAAAAATCAATTTTACGTACGATTCACCAGCAATATGGAAATCCAAATTGGCATATTGAGGAAATTCTTGGAAGAAGATTTGTAAAAACGCGTATACATCAGTGGCAGCAGCCAATGAATTGGACACACCGCTACCATAAGAATATCCAACATTAATTGGCTACAAAGATTTATGTTATTAGAGATAAAATATTAAATATTTTAAATATATTAGAGATGATATATTAGAGATAATGGTATAAAGACATGTAAACTGTTTTTTGATTCATACTTGATCCAAGAAAATAACACTAGCATTGTTATTCCATGAGTAAGGATTAAAAATAGTATCAGTTCCGTCTTCGTTAACTGAGCAAGGACCAAGCTCAAAGTATAAACCCGTCAAGGAAGAACATCTAAATGAATTATTAAGAAAGCATTTAACATTAACATTGACGTTAATATCAATCGACTATAAGCATTAATAAGCATTAGTAAACATTAGTAAATCTTTAAATATTATCATACCCAGGGCCACCATTAAGCTATTTTAAATTAATATAAAAGGAATCAAGAAATATAAAAAGTAATATTAAATACACAAGTTTTAAAAGATGATAAATTATCAAGTTATTATATTTATATACATATTACATACCCAAAGAACGATTGGATCAGTTTGAGGATTACTTCTCGATTCAAAGAACCAAAAGAAGAAATGTTTCTTGGCACCAGCATCAAGATATCCAGAATACTAAGATCCAAAAACATTTTCATAAAGTCTTTATAAGTTTTCATCAAGTTTGAACATTATATAAATTATAATACAAAGTTTACAAAACCTGTTGAACAGTTTCATCACACATATGTGGTTCTTTAAATTTAATTTTATAATCAGGGAAATCTTCATGAGTTAATACTTTTGCCCATTTATTATTATGATTATTCTTCTGATTAATATTAACTGTCACTTGATCAAATTTATCGAAAATATTATTTGTTATATCATCAAGATCATCGCTTGACCATTTCAACCTGTTAATAAAGATTTCTCTTTGATTCAAAAGTTGAGACGAAGCAATGTGGCATAATAATACTAATACTCCAGTAATAAGGAATAGAGCTCCAACCTTGGAGCGCGTAAAAGAAGTCATGGTTAAGTTGAACTTTTCGATTTATCGTTACGTTATTAAAAAGAAGAAAAAAAAAAAAAGAATGTACAATACGATATACGAATGTACGATTCTTTTAAAAAAGAAGAAAAGTATTTTAATAAAATTCGCGCGAAATACCGATTCTTTATTTATATCACGGCGTTTCGATATAGAAAATGGCGTAATGGTACTACCTCATTTTTTATTAGTTCGGAGTATACTTAATGCTACATAATATGAATATTGATAGTGTGTTACAATTAGTTTCATGCACAAAAACCTTAAATTTGATCATAGGACATAAATTCATTAGTACTTACACGATAGTTTTTTTTTGATGTTTTTTTTGATAAATAATGATAATTGAGATTGATCAAGAAATAATTATCTATATCAAAAAGCATCTACTGTTGGCCTAACTGCTTATCGTTATTCCACCGAATGAGATTATGAATGAGATTTTACCAATGAGATGACCAATAAGATTTTTGGATTCATTAATAATACCTGGTACTATTCAACTTTAAAAATTGAATAAGATCTGGGTACTGTAAGCAGTGGCCAACAGTAAATACAACCTTAACGTTAATTCTCAAAGTTTTCATTATCAGTATTGGCAATGCTATTATTAGAAATTTTAAACGCCACGTACATACATCTATGTACATCTATGTAGATAACTTACATATACATATACCATATGTAGATACGTACATAAGTACGCATCGTACAAGTTATCGTTTTAATCGTTATATATAGTAATTAAAAAAAGAATTAAATAAGACAAAATGACGATGACGATAACGAAACGATAACGAAAAGTAACGCACGTGCCGGAAATTTTTATGGTACGTACGTAAAATATAACGGTATTATTGTTGACATAACCTGACATTGGCATTAGAATTTTAGGACAGAAATAAATCTTGACGTATATCGATATATTTTTGATATATAATTTTTTTTCTCTCGCATGATAAACAGATAATGATAATATGATAACGATAATGATAGATCGGTTGTTATATTTCATAATGACGCGCTTCATCAATAATGAATATAACATGGTTTCGGTTAGCTAGCGCATTTATAAATATAGATATACGTAATTAATTTTAATTCCATTTAAATTTATTTAATTCTATATAACTTAATTTTTTTTTTCAATTAATTAGAAAACTTGAATCTACCTTTGAAAAAAAAAAAATGTTTACAATATTCACTAAACACTTTATTTTACTTGTTAATGGTGTGTTATCAATGCTTATAGTATGGATCTCAAACTTTGTTGTCAAAGCTTATATCACTTCTGATATTAAAACACAATTATTGGTCATAAATTTCATACTTGGAACTTTATTTCTTTTAACTTTTATTATTTCTGATTTCGATGAAAATTATACATTTAATCGACACTTGGTAATAAAGTTAGTGCCTTGTTTACTCTTTTATACTGGTGGTTATGCTTCGGTAATCATTACGCGATATAGTGGTTTTCATTTTCCAATATTATTCAACTTTGTGAAAATTGGATGGTATGAGATTATTATCATAATAATATTTATGATTTGGATCTTACTTGATGTATCTTTTGAATATGAGGAGAAATTCGACATGTAAGTTTATTCTCTAAAATTTTTTTCCTTGAAAATTTAACTTTATTCCTGAAAATTTAATTTTTCTTTTCCTGGAAATTTAATTTTTATAATGATAATGATAGTGATCAAGAAAGAATTCAAAGTTTCTTGGAATCAATTAATCATGATTCATTACCTCAATTCTTTAATAATCATTTCTCTGATGTTCATGATACATCATCGAGAGTTTCCAGAGTTCCCGTCGCTTCTTTGGTTAAGCGTAAAGTTGTTCGAATACGTGTCGAATCTCGAGCAAAGTTTCTTGGTCGCAAGATAGGTAAACATTTTTAAAATCTATATATATTTTGAAATGCATATATATATATATATATATATATATATATATACATATACATATACATATATATATATATACATACATACATATATATATATATATATATATATATATATATATATATATATATATATATGTATATATATATA